ACTACTTTCTCTAATTTAAAGCCATTGTAAAACTGCAGTGGCATATATTTTCTTATTATCACTTCTCAGTTTCTTTTTGCTTTCTCGAATTGAAAACAATTTTAAAAGTATGTATTTCAAGATTTTCACTTGTCATAGTTGCAAGGCACCTTGTGCTAATCAATTCTTTCGTGTTTTAGGGATCACTTAGGGGTTAGATGATGGAGTTTGGACTTCCATATATTGTAAAGTTGCAGGTGAGCGACAAATCAGCTGGCTTGACCCAATTATATTTTTATTTTGTTTATTGTTCTTTTAGCTCCTATTTTCCTTAATTGGTCTTTTCATGTATTTTTCAAGAAATAATTATTTACTTAATAATTTTTTGCTTTTAGATCTAAATGAGTTTTCCTAGTATTGCTTGAGAGTAAGAGGAATCCCATCTTACATGGTGAAATATTTGAAAATGAAATTTGGCAGAAAAAGTAGTTGACTTACAATGACAAAGCATTCTGAACAGGAAATTGGGAAAAAAGCTCTGAAAAAGTTGAACAGTATGTCTATTCAAAGAAGAATTAATCTAGGTTGTCTGCATTGCCAGTTCGGAATAAAAATACATATTGCAGTTTACATGTAAAAGTTGCGTACTCCTTTTGTTATTTAATGAAATAATGAAATTTATCCAGCTTAATTGACTTCTATACACAAGACTAAGAATTTATCTGTCCGAATATAGTAAATGCCTGATGAGCATTCTGCAGTTTCCCAAACATCAATCTCAAATTTGATTCTTTTATAAACTATTAAATAAGAATCCTACCTTATCTTTGGAAAAGTTAATAGTGTCAGAATTTTAGGATTAAATATGGTTACCCAAAAAAGAAGGGGCATTCCGAGAATCGAACTGGGACCTCTCGCACCCAAAGCGAGAATCATACCACTAGACCAAATGCCCAGCTGTCTATGGTCCCTCATAGACAATCTTAATGATAGCTGGAAGTTCTAGATTGCTATTGTCTGGAAAACATATGTTAATCTTTTTGGGTTAATCAACAAAGATAATTTTTACAAAGCCAGGGATTCAAATCTTAAAATTTTAAAAGACAACCAAAAAATTGCTGAAAAGAACTCGTCATAAGAACATTTCAACGATCTTTGAGTCGCTGAACAGGTTTTAAGAGTTCTCAATTCAATCATAAAACTTCAACTTCCAAAAATCTTTATCAAGGGAACAAGTAATTCTCAATTTACCTTTTCTTCCCCTCCTGATCTCACTCTCTTGCCGTCTTCCTATCAAAATACTACCTCTGGCTGGTTCTGTTACTGTACTTGTTGCTGTTTATTTCCACTTTCATTCTTGACTTGCTATGGGTGAATGATAAAGTTGCACTATTCATTTTTACCAAGCAGTGGATATGCTGGCTGGATTTTCTTCATAATCTGCCTCAAGCATCCTTAATTACTACTTGAAGCCTTAAGATTTTCTCATAATTCTCCTCCAGTTACAGTTCCAGTGTTCTTAGTTCTAAGCTAAAAGACTTTTCCTGTTAATGAATTAAAACTGTTTTTTTATTGTTGTTTATGAATTAACTTTTTCCAACCATCTTTCTATTTTTGATGCATAAACATTATTCACCTGAATTTTGATTCGTTATATCCTTTCTTCTGTTATTTGATGCATAACTGATTAAATATGATTCAGATTAGTAACATTTTTAGGGTTTACTAATTTGAGTCTTGGGCGTCTACTTTGTTAAAGTACTCTTAACAAATTGGTTGTGGTTTCTTAGTTTTAACTATCAATTAGTGCTCTCAACTTGCATCTAAGGTGTGGTCTAGCAGTTGATGAAATGGGTGAATATCATGGGAGACTAGGGTTCAAATCTCAGTAGAGACAAAAGACATTGACTATAACTTCCTATTTGCATAAACCTTGGTGAATAGAGTTACACGTTACCTGCATGACCACTGTCATAAAAAAAATTAAAATTGTGCTCGTAAGTTTTGCTCACTGATGGTTGTACTGAGCGCGACAACGTGTCGTGTCAAAAGGTTAAGTTCTGAAGGAAGGGGCATTCAGAGAATTGAACTCGGGACCTCTCGCACCCTAAGCGAGAATCATACCACTAGACCAAATGCCCTGTTGTTGAACAAAATTTCTTTACTATATAATTCATTTTTGTTAATATCTAGCTTGCTTAACTTTTCTTTGCATGATGATAAGTCAATTAATGACTCTCTAGATCTCTGAGTTGTAAACTGTCAGAACAGGTTCAGTATTGCTTTGTGTCATCAATATGCTTATTTCGTAATTGCTATTTGGCCACAAAATTCCTAGCTAACTTGAAAATGCTGACTATACTGATATATGCTAGTTATAGGAATTATTTATCTTTGAATTATGAAAGACATCCTTACATAAGTTACATTAGATAATCTCTGACCCTTTTCCTGGAGTTCCTCATTTGAAGTTAGAAAAAGAAGAAATAAATTAAGAGGTAATAGTAAAAGAAGAGGTACAGACTCCACCATTTCATCACTTTTTTAAATTTTAATATCGTGGTTGACTTCTGATCTTATCTCTAGCACTATCTTGTCAGGCAACTTCACTGAGCACCTCTAGAACTTCTAGGTGCTAACAATATGTCAAATTACATTTTTGCTCAAACCTCCCACATTTATAGTACTTCAGTACCTGTAGAAATTTAATATATTAAATAGAGCATTAAGTAGGAATTCTTTTGCATGAATAATGCCTTACCTTGTATCTGCATTGTTTCATAAGGGAAAGTCATGTGTAAAGTTAAATTTTTCTATTTAAAAAAAACAAATAGTTTGGTTAGTTTTGTATTCAATCTCTTTTTTTAAAAGAATAATGATAATTAATAAAGCACAGAGGCGTTTTGATTCATCATATATTGACTTTAATGTTCTATTTATAAAATGGGTATGCCAAGAATCGAACTGGGGACCTCTAGCATCCAAAGTGCAAATCATACCCCCAGACCAAATTCCCAGTTGTTTATGAGTGTCATTTTGACTCATGATCAATGTGTTTTTCCAAATATCAGCACTGACTCAATCATAAATATCACTGCTAAGTTGCAAAATTAGGAGCATATGCCAGTTTACTCTGACATTCCTAATGTAACATATGCAAGTTGTTGGAATTAGTTGTCTCTGAATGGAAAATACATCCTTACATAAGTTAGGTGTCAAATAGTCTGTTGACTTTTGTTGATTTGCATTTTTATAGCACAAGATTTAAAAAAATAAAAAGGAGAAAAGCTAAGAGTAATAAAGAGGAAAAAAGATGACTTTATTCCACAGAGTAGTTCTTGTTGTTATTTCTGTTGTCATAGTTGGTTTTGGATATGATCTCTGATACTAGTAAATCTAATTTCAGTCAGCCCCTGTTGAACTGCTTAATTCAAACATAAAACATTTATATTTCTCCTACCTTCAGAAGTTTAATTCTGATAATGCACTGGGTAGGAATTCTTTCTGATAAAACTATCTTTACTTGTTTCATGAAGGGGAGTCAGATTTTAAAGTTATGTTTTTTCTTTTAAAAGAAAGGAGGCGTTTGCGTATCAGGTTTTGAAGTAATTCTAGTTTAGAATAAAAAAGAAAAAATGAGACGTTTGTTGAATCAAACAAAGAATGGGGCATTCCGAGAATCGAACTCGGGACCTCTCGCACCCAAAGCGAGAATCATACCACTAGACCAAATGCCCTAGCTGTTGAAGAATATCATTTTGACTCATGATCAATGTATTTTTTCAACTATTAGCAATAGCTTGACTGTAAATGCCATATTCATTGCAAATATGTAACCTTTCGTCTTCTTATTTCAATAGCTATAGATCTGTATTTCCTTACTGGGATTTTCTTTGAGAACTTAACATGACTCTCATCAGAATACTAATATTTAGTGGATAAACAGAGTGTTTTGACCTCCTTGTTTGCACCCTTTTCTCTGCTGTTCACTTTTTTCTGATTCCTAAATAGCTGTCATCTTTGACTGTTTTTGGTTCATAATTTTACATTCCTTTTTAACATACTCAATCCTTTGGACATGTCACAAGGAACTTTTAAATGGAGAAGTTTTATGCTTCATAATTTGTGTTGGAAGTCACATCTTAAGTGGAGGATACCGAGTTTAGGAATGATAAAGAGGCCCGGGCTTGTGTTCTCGTATTTTCTAATTAGTTTAGATACATTCTTAATTGATCTAGGGTGTTCTTCTTGTTTGTATTTTAGACTACTGTTGATTGTGTTTATGTTTTTGTCAGAAAACAACATGAACCTTGTTATGTTCATGCTTCATTGCTCAAGTAAACATTAGATGATTCATTGGTTGGAGGTAGCAATCTTCCTCCTAATTAGAGAAGGAAAATCAAATAGCTCTTGACTTAATCAGCATTGTACCTAAACAAATGCTTGGTTTCTTGTAACACTTGCCATTGATCAATAATTTTTGCTATCCTTGTTGACATCCCTGAACATTGTTCATGAATCTTTGCTGAAGTACAATATATTAGCTAATTGTCACTTCTTAGCTTTCTTGCTTTTATTTTATTGAAACAAAAAGCAAAACTGCAATGACGAAACCATATACTTCTTGTTACTTCTCAATTTTCCTGCTCTGTCAAATAAACTAAGGTAAAATTGTAAAGCAATAAGCCTTCTAAACATTAACTTATCATAGTTGAGATGCTCCTTGTGCTGATCTATCAACCAGTTTTATCAAAGGCGAAAAACGCAAAAAAGCTCTAAGATTTCTGGGGGGTTTAAGTGCAAAGCGCAAATAAAACATGGGCTTTAAAGAAAAAAGGTGCAAAGGGAGAAAAAATACAAATGTGTATGTTTAGTCCAAGACTAATAATTATAAACATGAATGACTAATATGTGACCAAAGGACTTGAAAAAAAATTATGATAAAGTGAAATATCAATTGTTTAGTGTCACTTCTTCATAAGACGCTCATTGACAAGGAAAAGTTTGTCTTAGAAACTTGATGACGGCATTGAAGCGCACGTAAAGAGAGTTGAAGCGCTCAACACGTTTTGAGTCTTGCTTTAGGCTTAAGCGCGCTTAAAGTGTGCCTTTGATAACACTGCTATCAACACATTATCTGAGATCACTTGAGAGTTCTGTGTTGTATTTTTGACTTGCAGATCTGCTAAGTGGTAAACTGGCAGGTGAACATGCTTGGCCGAATCTTACTAATTTGAGTCTCGGCAGTGTAATTTGTTAAAGTGTTCAAAATGGTTGTGGTTTTTTGTCTTACTATTAATTAATAATTAGTGCTCTGAACTTTTCTCAAGATAATGTAACTGAGCACGAAAATGTTTTGTTAAAATGTTAAGTTCCGAAAACTTGGGGCATTCCGAGAATTGAACTCGGGACCTCTCGCACCCTAAGCGAGAATCATACCACTAGACCAAATGCCCTGTTGTTGAATTTATTTTCTCCCCTATGTAATTTACCTTGCTTTAGGTTCCATCTCTTACTTGTTTATTGTTTACTTTACATCATGACAGTCACTAAATGTCTGTTGATCTCTGAGCGGTCATAACCATAAGAAGAGGTTCAGTATTGGTTTGCAATTTTGTATCATTAATACGTTTATTTCATAGTTTTTTATTTGGCCATGAAATTCCTAGTATAATTTGAATAGATGCTGAGTGTACTGATATATGCTAGTCATAGGAATTAGCTCTCTGAAATTAAAAGTACATCCTTACATAAGTTTTGTCAGATATTCAGGACCTTTTCCTTGTAGCTTTGCATTTGAAGTAAGAAAAGGATAAAAACAAATGTAAACCAAAGGATACTTAAACTCCATCCTTACATAAGTTTTGTCAGATATTCAGCGACCTTTTTCTTGTAGCTTTGGATTTGAAGTAAGAAAAGGATAAAAACAAATGTAAACCAAAGGATACTTAAACTCCACCCATTCACCCTTTTTTTTTATATTTTAATATCATAGTTGGTTTCTGATCTTATTTCTAATACCATCTAGTCACCCTGAGCCCCTCTAGATCTGTTAGCCATATGTAAAGTCACATGTTGCTCAAACCTACCGCATTTATATTATTTCTGAACCTGTAGAACTGTAATGCATTAAATAGAGCATTGGGTAGGAATTGTTTTAGATAAATGCTCTCTTACCTCTGCATCATGCCAGCAAAATGAGCCCATTTTTGTAACCTGACCATATTTTAATGGGATGGGTAAGTGATTTTGTATATGGGTAAAATATGAGTTGATACCCATATTTAACCCATAAAAGTACCCTTACGGGTAAACTATGGGTAAAATATGGATTAGCCAAAAGGGTTAAAGCTTCCAATTTTTATTCACGATATCACTAAAAATATTGTAACTTTTCTTCCTTTTAATATATCTTGTATAAAACTAATTATTCTTCTGTATAATTGAAAAGATGGAAGTCTTTGGTCCTCCAAAAAATATATATATTAATTTTGTTAATTGTAATTTTTTTTATTAGTTTAATTTTATATTGGATAACAAATTGCAGTGTAAAATAAGCAAATCATGTATTAGTATGGACATTGCATAAAGTGCATTATCCATGTTTTAGTCCTAAAATGCAAATATTCATTTACTCTGAAATTAAAGATATTTTCCCCTTGTAGTTACATAAATTTATTTTATTGAATTCTTAAGTATAGTGCTATTTATTCATGAGAATATGGGTAAACTAGTATTTTACCCAACCAATTTGTTACCTAATCCATTTTACCCATATCAAATATGGGCGGGTTGAATAATTACCCATTTTATGTTGACCCATTTTCAACCTGCTCAAATTTGACCAACCCGCCCATTTGCTACCACTAGCCGCTGCAGTAGCTTCATATGAGAGAGTCAACTGTAACATTAAATTTACTATTGAAAGAAACAACGGATAATTGACCAATTGTGTTACAAGGCTTTTGGATTTATCAGATTTTAAGGTTAATTTTATTTTGAAAATGCAAGGAATAATTGATTATGTATCTATTGAAATAAAACGGGCCATTCTGAAAATTGAATTTGGGACCTCTAGCACCAAAGCATGAATCATACCACTAGACCAAACTGCCCAGTTATTGATGAACGTCATTACTCATGATTAACGTGCTGTTATTCTTCGTATCAGCAATAACTAGATCATAATATATCATTCTTGAAAATATAGGACTCTTTGTTTGACGTCTTTGATCTAAATTCTCTTATCTGAAGGATTTCCGAGGAATTCAGTATATTTTCATCAGGACAGTGGTCACTCTGTCATTATAAGTTAAGAGAGTTCTCAACTCTTGTTTCGCAGCCTGTCCTCTAATTCTTAGAATTCAATTTTTTATCATATGAAGCCCTTGGGATATCTGTATTTGAATATGTCGTTACTAGTGAAGAACTGTTATTGGTGATATAATAAGATTTTGGCATTAGAAGATTAATGCATCATATTTTAACCAATTAATTTGAGTGTAAGTCACTACTGAAGTAGAACGCTTAATTGTAGGAATAATCAAGAGGAAAATGTTGGCTTTGCGTTTGGGTTTTTCTGACTTCTAGTTTGTTCAAGATACCTTCTTCATCAATCTAGTCTGTGATTTCTGTTCGTGTATTATTCTGCAGTTCATTATAAGTGAGCTAGCTCACAGAAAAACATGAACCTTTTGATGTTTATGCTTCATTACTCAAATAAAAATGAACGAATGATTCGTCAACTGATGCTATTAATCTGAGCATACTACTAGAACAATCTTTGTTTTTTGGTAAGACTTTTCTGACATCGATTGATAGTTTCGGCTTTTATTTTTTACCTCCCTGATCCATAAAAATGAACCTTTTCTATTAATTGATGCCGATGGAGAAATATATTTGCTAACTATCACCTAGTTTTACTTACTTTCTCTAATTTAAAACAACTGTAAAACTGCAATGATATACATTTCCTGATCATCACATCTCAGTTTCTTTTTACTTTCTCGAATTAAAAAGAAATGCAAAACTGTGTATTTCAAGTCTTACACTTGTCAAAGTTGCGAGGCAGCTTGTGCTAATCAATTCCTTCGTGTCTTAGGGATCAGTTAGGAGTTATATGATGGAGTTTGGACTTCCGTATCTGGTAAAGTTGCAGGTGAGCACAAATCAGGTGGCTGTTTTTGTACTTTTAGATCCTATTTTCCTTAACTGGTTTAAAAAAATTATTTACTTAATACTTTTTCGCTTTAAATCCAGATGAGTGTTCCTAGTATTTTTTGAGAGTAGGAGGAATCTCATCTTACATGGTGATATACTAAAATAGAAAGTTGGCAGAAAAGTTAGTTGACTTACAATGACAAAGCATTCTGAACAGGAAATTGGGAAAAATGCTCTGAAAGTAGAACAGTATGTATATTCAAAGAGGAATTAACTCTTAAGTTGTTTGCATTGCCAGTTTGGATTAAAAATACATATTGCACTTTACATGTAAAGTTGCCTAATCTTTTTGTTATTTCATGAAATAGAGAAATTTATCCAGTTTAATTGACTTTTATACACAAGACTAAGATTTTATTTGTCCATAAATGCCTGATGAGCATTCTGCAGTTTCCAAAACATCAATCTCAAATGTGATTCTTTTGTAACCTATTCAATAAGAACCCTACCTTATTTTTGGAATAGTTATTGCTGTCAGAATTTAGGATTAAAATGGTTACCTAAAAGAAGGGGCATTCCGAGAATCGAACTCGGGACCTCTCGCACCCAAAGCGAGAATCATACCACTAGACCAAATGCCCAGCTGTCAATGGTCCCTCATAGACAATCTTAATGATAGCTGGAAGTTCCAGATTTCTGTTGTTTGGAAAACATAGCTTAATCTTTTGGGAGAATCATCAAAGATAATTTTACAAAGCCGGAGATACAAATTTATAGTAGTTTTAAAGAAAATCAAGAAGTTGCTAAAATGAACTTGTCATAAGAACATTTATACAAATTTTGCGCTAAGCAGAGTTAATAGTTGTTAATTTTTTTTTAAAGTTTTCACTCATAAAACTTCTACTTCCAAAAAACCTTTATCAAGGCAACAAGTAATTCTCAATTTGCCTTTTTCCCCTCCTGATCTCACTCTCTTGCCTTTTTCCTATCAAAATACTACTTTGGCTGGTTCTGGTACTGTACTTGTTGCTGTTTATTTCCACTTTCATTCTTGACTTGCAATGGGGTGAATGATAAAGTTGCACTATTCATTTTTACCAAGCAGTGGATATGCTGGCAGGTTTTTTCTTCACAATCTGCCTCAAGCACCCTTAGTTTCTACTTGAAGCTTTTGGATTTTCTCATAATTCTCCTCCAGCTATTGTTTCCAGTGTTCTCAGTTCTAAGCTAAAAGACTTTTCCTGCTTATGAATTAAAATTGTTTCCCACCACATTCCTATTTTTGATGCATAAACGTTATTCAACTGGATTTTGATTTGTTATATCCTTTCTTTTGTGGATTTGATGCATAACTGATTAAATATGATTCAGATTAATAACAGTTGTAGGTTTTATTAATTTGAGTCTTGGGCGTCTACTTTGTTAACAAATTGGTTGTGGTTTCTTAGTTTGAACTATCAATTAGTGCTCTTAACTTGCATCCAATTGTGTGGTCTAGCAGTTAATGAAGTGGGTGAAAACCATGTGAGACCAGGGATCAAATCCCAGTGGATACAAAAGACATTTACTATTTTTTTCTATTTGCATAAACCTTGGTGAATAGAGTTACCCGTTACCTGCATGACCACTGTCATAAAAAAATTAAAATTGGGCTCTCAAGTTTTGCTCACTGATGATTATACTGAGCAGGACAAAGTGTAGTGTTAAATGGTCAAGTGCTGAAGAAAGGGGCATTCCGAGAATTGAACTCGGGACCTCTTGCACCCTAAGCGAGAATCATACCACTAGACCAAATGCCCTGTTGTTGAATTTAACTTCTTTCCTATACAATTTATTTTTCTTTATGATCCATATTTAGCTTGATTAATTTTTCTTTGCATCATGATAAATCAATTAATAACTCTCTAGATCTGAGTTGTCATAACTGTCAGAACAGGTTCAGTATTGCTTTTGTGTCATCAATATGTTTATTTCGTAATAGCTATTTGGCCACGAAATTCCCAGCTAACTTGAAAATGCTGACTATAGTGATATATGCTTTTATAGGAAGTAGCTGTCTTTGAATTATACAACACATCCTTACATAAGTTGACATTAAATACTCTCTGGACCTTTTTCTTTAAGTTATTCATTTGAAGTTAAAAAAAGAAGAAAGAACTAAGAGCTAATACTAAAATAAGGGATAACAGACTCCACCATTTCATCAATTTCAAAATTTTAATATCGTGGTTGACTTCTGATCTTATCTCTAACACTTTCTAGTCAGGCGACTTCACTGAGCACCTCTAGAATTGCTAGGTGTAACAATATGTTTATTTACACTTTTGGTCAAACGTACCACATTTCTACTACCTCTGTGCATGTAGAAGTTTAATACATTAAATAGGGCATTGAGTAGGTATTGTTTTGTATGAATAATGTTTATCTTGTATCTGCATTGCTTCACAAGGGAAAGTCATGTGTAAAGTTATTTTTTCCACTTAAAAACAAAAAATAATTTTGTTAATTGTGTATTCGATCTCCTTTTTAAAATAATAATGATTTTAAATAAAACACAGACATTTTGATTAATCAGATATTGGGGTTAATGTTCTTTTAATAAAATGAGGCATTCCGAGAATCGAACTCGGGACCTCTCGCACCCAAAGCGAGAATCATACCACTAGACCAAATGCCCAGTTGTTCAAGCATGACAGACCAAATGCCCAGTTGTTCAAGCATGATCGGTGTCTTATTCTCTTTTAATATCTCATATCATTCCTTGCAGAATTTTAATCTTTAGACTCCTCATTTTTGCTCTTCTGCATTTGCTTATACAAAGATTTTTTGAGGAATTTTATTTATTCTCATTGGGAATTGTCAGTGTGTCACTATAGAAGCAAAGAGAGTGTTCTTAAATCTTCTGCTTTTCCGCCTTTCCTCTAATATTTACTTTTCTCTAATTGATAAATTTTAGTGGAAATCCTTTCGTTATCATACCTAGTCCTTTGGACATGTTGCAAAGAACTGCTATACGTGATGATATTAAGATTTTTCTGGCACTATATTAAACTGCATCATATTTTAGTCCCGTAATTTGAGTTGAAGTCACGACTTAAGCAGAACTTGCTAATTATAGGAATAATTGAGGTAAACATTTGCTATGCTTTTGGGTCTATCTGATTTCTAGTTTATTTGAGCTACTTTCTTGATTAATCTAGTCTGTGATTCTTGTTTGAGTTTTATTTTGCAGCTCGTATAAGTAAGTACAGAAAACAACATGAACCTAGTGATTGCCAAACTAAATATGAATGGATGATTCATCAACTGGGGTTCTTTAATCTGAGATCTTACGCCAAACAGACGACATATCACTTCAGCAATCCTTGATTTTTGGCAACTTTTTTCTGCCATTGACTGATATATTCGGCTGCATTTTTTGACCTCCATGGTCCAAAAAAATGAACCTTCTTTATTAAGCTTTGCTCAAGGACAAATATATTTGCTAGCTGTCTCTTTATTTGGCTACTTTTTCCAGATCAAAAACAAATGTAGAACTGCAATAACATACATTTTCTGGTTATCAATTCTTTTGTTTCTTAGGGATCACTTAGAAGTTCTATGTTGGATTTTGGACATTCAGATCTCCTTAAAGTTGCAGGTGAGCACAAATCAGCTAGCTTGACTGCATCATGTTTTATTTTTATTTTTTCCTTAACTTTTAGATCCAGATGAGTTTACCTAGTATTTTGGCTGAAAAGTTATATATATCATATATATATATATATATATATATATATATATATATTATTATTATTATTATTATTATAAGTGAGAAGATTTTAAGTTTAAAGTTAGATTACGAAAATGCCCTTCACCAATTTTTTAAATTAAAAAATCATTTACTAATTTTTAAAATTAAATCAATAATGACAATTAAACTAGACCAAATACATGATTAGATGTTACAACTTATCATTTTCCATTTCTTAATGAATTTGATTGTTAAAACTTTTTAGTTTCTACCATTAAACACATTTATACACAAAACTTTCATGTACTTAATTTCTCCCTTTATAAATTGGATAAAAAATATTAATCCACCACACTTTGTTTTCATCATCTAATAGTTCTTCTGTCACAAGTATTTTTTTATTGGTCACTATTTTTCTTATTGATTTTTGCCTTCATTCATTTTATTTTCATGGTTGTTGGAGAAACACATAATCTAATAGTTTTTGTAATATTTTTTTATTGGTCACTATTTTTCTTATTGGTTTGTGTCCTTCATTCATTTTTTTATTTTTAATGATTGTCGGAGTATTTATATTCCAAGAAATTTCAGCTTTAGGGCTTAGTTCTAGCCTTACAAGTTGCTCATCATTCACCAAAAAAAATGTTGACATTTAAGTTCTAGGCAAAAAGTAAACACTAAAAAAAGTTTATTGTGTGCACAAAAAGACATATAGGAGTACGTCAGACAATGTCAAGCAATTTTATATCTTGGGCCTATATAAATTATAACAGTAACAGAGGTCAAACGTGCAAGGTACGTTTCCTGAACTAGTATATATATATATATATATATATATATATATATATATATATATATCCAACTGAATTTTTTTTTAATATCTTCATAACTATATTTTTATAATATTGGAATTTTTTAGCCTTATCCCCGCACCCGTATCCATACTCGAATTTGCACCCACGAAGATTTCGCCGAATCTGACTCTCGGATTCGCATTCGTCTCGGATATCCGCACCCGAGTCCGAGCAACTTAGGTTGTTTGGTAGGGTGTATTAGAGAACCTAATAAATATTCTTTTCATGGTATTATTTAATTCTTTGTTCTTTAGCCTATGCATAACTAATTCACAGCAAACCGTGGTATAATAATACATGGATAAGCAGGGTAAAGATAAAACTGCCCTCAATACACCAAACCAACAATTGATAGGAAATCGTCCCAGCATTACTGATACATCCTATTCAGTACTATTCTTATACACTCTACCAAATGACCCCTCATTGTTGTTGAATCAACACAGGGAAATGCAGCACTGCTGCAAATGGTTATTTGCTGAGGAAACTCAAGTGTTTGTTCAAGCTAAGCTTTACGAGTTCGGATATTTCTAATACACACTTCTCACCCACCCATACATGTGATAAGAAGCCACCACCAAGATCAACAGCCTACAACGGAAAAGAAAAACCCAGCTTTAAAATGAAAAATGGAAGCTTCAGTTCGGCAAATTTGACTGATAAATGCTAGACCCTAACCTACTAATCACCTTTAGTATTTGTTGTTGGTCTTTATTAGGGGTTTTCCTACTTAGTATCTTGCTTCCTATTTCTCTTTTTGCTTTTCTTGTAATAATATGCGATTGCACCCCCGGGTTCTCGTCCAGTGGTAAGAGCGCAATGCATGATATGTGTGTTAGACGCACGTCACACGGTCATGGGCTCACGGCTTCTTACTCTTTCATGGACAAAAGTATGGTATTTGAGCGGAGAAGGCTAGAGGGGCTGACACCCCCCCCAAAAAAGAAGGGAGCTACGTCTGAGTTAAACCGAGTTTCACTAGCTTTCAGGATTTCTGGATTATTGTTTTTAAAAAAGGAATGCTATGTGTGATTGAAAACTTGTCTACATCAGCTTGTCTGAAGCTTTTTCTTTCTTTCTATTTGTTTTCTACGGTTCTTCTCTTATATATATATATATATATATATATATATATATATATATATATATTATATTTTGTTCATATCTTTCCAATTTCGGTATTTTACAGCACATCCCTAATGAATTTGTAATCGAGCATGGCCCTAATCTAGGGGATAGTGTGTTGCTTGAGGTCCCAAATGGCGTGGCATGGAAAGTAAAACTGCTAAACTCTAGTGGCATGGTATGGTTAAATGAAGGCTGGAACAAATTCAAGGAGTACTATTCAATTGCATGTTGTTACTTTTTACTCTTCAGATACGAAGGAAATTTCCAGTTCTCTCTGTTCATATTTGATCTAAATGCTTCTGAGATTGAATATCCTCCTGGCCAAAATGAAGATATGACACCACAAAATCGATCTGTTCTGTGCGTGCCACCAGAGGAAAGCGGAATAAACTTACCCCTACTCGGTGAGCCACCAAACGAGAACAGGATAAACTTAACCCCACCTGATGATCCACCAGAGGAAGATGTGATATACTTATCTCCACCTGGTATTTACACCATCATGGCCAAAGGTATAGATATATTTAAGGCTAGTTTTTCTCTCTCTTTCAGAGCTTCACAATGTATTTTACGATTTAAGTTATGTACCCTGGAATGTAAATATCTTTTTTATACAATCAATGAATTCAGCACCAAGTTAGTGACTAGATTACCAAGTATTATGCATTGAAGAGATTAATTTGCAATTATCTTATTTCTTACCAATGAGTTGAGGGTCTATCGGAAACAACTTCTCTACCTTTTTACGGTAGGGGTAAATTCTGTATATATTCTGCCATTTACAAATCCCCGCTCGTGAGATTATATTGCATTTCTTCTTCTTGTAGTACTTGTGATTATCTTATACTTGATCTGATTATGTAAATTTTTTTACTTCTGTCAATGCGTTGAACTTAAAAGCTCTTATTTTTACTCTTTATATCTCGTTCTTTTGGCAAAAAAAAAGAAAAAATTGTATATCTTTATGGTGTTTGCTTGTGTTTTGTGTTCTTTTTAATTTAAGTTACTCTTAAGAGACTTATTTATAGTTTTAATCATAGGATTCAAGGTTAGGTAAGTTTGGCAACATCTATAGACGTAGGATTTTTAACCTTTCTTTGGTAATCTTTATGCATCTTTCTTGATGCTTTTCAATACAAAGGATTGATGTGTCAAGTTCCTGATCACAGGATTGCTCCATTGGAAAGGTTGGACTTTTATTACTACGTATATAATTAACCGAGTTTTTGATGCATACAAGTATTTTTATTGAAATGTTGATATATAACTAATGGAATACTTAGAATATCTCCTTGCCTGCTATCAATTCTTGCTAGTCATAATAACCAAACGGGTTAGCCTTCATTTGCCCCATTCTCCATTTTAGATTTAGAGAAGTAAGGGTTTCCATCCGAACTAGTGCCTTAAGCAGGAAGGAAATGCAATTTTGTGTATGGTAATAATTATTTTTAAAAAAATTTAATATGAATGTATTACTACAAGTTGTTAATTCAAATTATATGGGATTAATTAGGACCACACATAAAACGACAGCATTAACAAGGAGAATGTCTTAATGCATATATATATATAGGCACATTAGTAGGCTGTTTGGATTGACCTTTTTTAGATGTTTTAAAGTCAAAATAGTTTTTAAATAGTTTATAGTGTTTGAATAAAATAAACAAGTGCTTAAAAGCATTTATTTTAAGCTAAAATAAGTCAAAAATCATATGTTAAAAAAAACAAAACATGGAACTCGTTTTTTTTTTGTCTTGGGACCTTCACATCATTTTCAATTTTGATTTTGCAATTCCCTCTAAGTTTTGGCCATATGTTCCTTATGGTTCTCCAAAGGCTAGTTCATTTAGTGTTGGTCACCAAGCTAGTTGACCAATGATCTTTCATTTCATATTTTGCCTGAATCACCTCCTTCCACAAAGCTTGTTCATTGGAGGCTAGTCTCCAGAACCATTTCATTAGTAGACATTGGTTCTGAGTCTTCAAGTTTCTCATCCCTAGACCTCCAACTTGTTTATTCCCAATCAAGGCTGCCCATTTAACCAGGTGAAATTTTCTTCTCGCTATTGCCTTCCCATAGAAAGTTTCTTCTTAGAGCATCCAATCTATCAATTACTCAATCAGGAATAGGAAAAAAGGACATCATATAACTAGGCATAGAATCCAAAACGCTATTAATAAGTGTTAGTCTTCCCCTTAGGGAAAGATATTGGCTCTTCCAATTTACTAATCTTCTTGCACACTTTTCGATCACCCCATTCCAAATATCTAAAAACCTATTGTTTGCTCCAAGAGGCATCCCCAGATAAATAGTAGAGAGAGGTCAACAACTCTTCCACCAACGGTCCTAGCCAGAAAGAATAGGTCAGGAACTACATTAACCGGACATAAGAAGCTCTTGTTCCAATTTATATGCAGTCCTGATATAGCTTCAAAGAGAATAAAAATCACTCAGCATTTTGAGTTGTTCTTTATTGGCATCACAAATATGAGAGTATCATCTGCGTATTGTAAATGGGTGATCTCCAGTTCACATCCCACTCTGTTTGATATTTTGAATCCCTTTAACCAAAGGTTCTCTCAAGCAGCTTTCAGCATATCACTTATCCTTTCCATTGCAATGATGAGTAGAAAAAGGTGATAGAGGGTCACCTTGCCTTAGGTCTGTTTGAGCATAGAAGAAGCCTATAGGGGAGTCATTGATAAGAATTGAGTATTTGACAATTTCAATGTAGAACTTCATCCATCTTAGCCATCTACCACCAAAACCTCTTTTATCAAGAGTTTCCCACAAATACTACCAATTTAGGTGATCATATGCCTTCTGTATATCCAACTTGCAGAGAATTCCTAGAGCAATGCTTCTGGTTCTAGAATCCACACACTCGTTTGCCATGAGGATGACATCCATTATTTGCCTACCTTTAATGAAGGCCAGTTGTTCATTTATGCATCACCTTTTTGAGTCTCTCAGTAAGAAGCTTAGAGATGATCTTGTAAACACTACCAATTAGGCTGATCAGTATGAATTTAGTAAGCTCCTTTGCACCTATTTTTTTGGGGATCAAGGCAACATAAGTTGAGTTGAAGCTTTTCTGAAAAACACGTCTCTCATGGAAGTTCTTAACAACATTAATTACTTCTCCTCCAATGACTTCCCAACAGTGAGTAAAGAAAGTCATCGTGTTACCATCAGGCCTTGGTGCCTTGTCTCCGGCACAAATCTTTACGCTCTCCCATATCTCTTGGTCCTCAAATTCCTTTTGAAGCACAAGATTATTTTTTCAAAATTCTGTGTCCTCCCCTGCAATTGTGTAAGGGTCTCCAGGTCTCAGTTTCAGTATATAATTCCTGATAGAAATTCACTATCGCTTTCTTTATAACTTATGGACTTTTGACAACTTCTCCATTCATATTTAACTCATCAATAGAATTATATCTTTTATGTGCATTGGCAGTTCTATTAAAGAATTTAGTGTTATTGTTCCTTGCTTAAACCAATTAGCCCTTGACCTTTGTCTCCATTAAATCTCCTCACACTTGGCAATGTTCTCAAACTCTAGGAGAAGTTCAGCCTTTGAATGTATCTCCTCCACATTGAGAATCCTCCTGTCCTCTTGTGTTTCCTCAAGTTCAGTAAGTTGATTGAGTATACTCTGTTTTTTAAGGCTAGATTGCCCTGAGCAGACTTGCTCCAATTCCTTAGTTTTTTTTTTTTTAAAATAGTTTTTTTATCCAATGCGTACACACCATCTTTTTTGGATCTAGATAACTCGTGAGATTTTATCAAATATGTTATTATTTCAACCCTTGCTCATAATTTGACTTTAATAAATATCCTTTCTAACTTTAAATTCAACCATTGCTTTCGAATTCAACTTAATCCAAATGTACAATACAAGTATAAGCTCACATATTTATTACCAAAATTTATTTCTATTAACATAATCTGTCAATTACATAAATTAAGACTTATAAATTTTTTTTAAAAAAAAATATAAATAAATTGTATAATTGTCTATGACTTCATTATGGTATAATGGATAAAAAAAAGTGTCTAAACTCACAGCCTACTTGTCATCATTTGATTGGTCAAATCCAATTCAAACAGGTGATATTTGAATTATAGAGTTAAACAGCTTTTTATTCGTCTTTGATATGATGAAAAATTGTTGATAAGAGACGAGCAATGACCGCAATCCTCTTGTCCTCATTTAGATCATTTTACATTGACGATGACCCGCTTCTTCTGTACGGTGGCGAAGAGACAAGCAATGCCGATGAATCATCAGGGTTGGAGAATAATTAGATCAAAAAATTGAATGCTCAGAGACAATCGGCATTTTCTAATATCTTTAATCATACAGTTGTCTCTGCTGATAATTCGATTTCTAATTCCTCCAAACTTGTGCGTCTTTCTCTATTTTTGGTCTCTGTTTATTATGTGTAGTGTACTTTTTTGTTTACCGTTGGAGTATTGGGTTTTGTATATTTTTTTTTATTACTTATTTGATGGTTCACTTTTTTGTAAGTTGGGTATGGGATTTCTTGCAAATTTGTATATGCAAAGAGAATGTAGGTGGGTTTTGTGATTTCTTTTTATGGGTCTTTTTTTTGTAAGTAAAATGGTTAATGATAAGTGGGGTAAAAATTAATTTGTAGAAAATCAAGTGAAGTGATTTAAGGTATTTCTTTTTTTGTTTTTTGGTCGAGATTGTGCTAAAAATTAGCGTTTTCATGCCATGATCTTCTACACATAAATATTCCTAATTGTATGTGTTCTTAAATGATTTCATTGTCTACTCCTGATGTCGATTCAACTTTGTCATTTCATGTCTAGTTTCACTGTTGCGCTGTTTTTATTTTTTAAGTCTATTTCGCTATTCCTCATCTCGAGTCTACTTCGTTGAATTTGTATTCTTTGTTTTCACTATCTCTAAGCATCGGATTTCATTCAATTTTGTTACTGTTAATGTTGTCTTCTTTTGAAAAATAAGGATAGAATCTCAAAGCTAATTAGTATGAAAGTTGGGTGTTGTTTTGCCTATTCTTTGTTGAATATGATAGCTTGTTTTCTACAGTTGTGAATTTCGTAATTGTTTACTGTCCAGCATTGCCCTGTTTAAATCGAGATTATGCCTCCTTTTAGAAAAAGTTTAGTAAAAAATCATTTTATCTTTCCTCTTTTACTGTATTGGTGTAGTTATAACACCATGGAGTCCAATTCTTTTTTTTTTATATTTGTTCCTTGGCAACATTCTTAATAATGGGATGTTGATATCATGGTTTTGATTTCGTAATTGAGTGTGGCCTTCATATAAAGGTTAATTAGTCAGTTAAATTTGTTCAGGTCTTCCCTTGGGGAACGATACCTCGAAGTGGGGGTGGGGGTAGGGTAGGCAAGGCGCCTCAAGGTGGGGGCCTTGGGGCACGACGGGGGGAGGCCTCGGGCACGTTGCCTCGACCGGGGTGAGGGAGGGATTAGAGTTTCAACTGTCTTCTTCAATTAATAATCATAGAAGCCTACTGCAATGCAGATCTTCCGATGCGTTTTGAAGATCGTGTTGCGACTGTAGACATAGCAACACGTTTTCAAGAGGGTAACAATAAAGTTTTTAAAATAGTGGATGAAGAGATAAACAATGGAAAAACACAG